ATATATATATATATATATATATATATATAAATGTGTATATATATTTGCTGCATTACCTACATCTACATCCTGTTGTTACCAGTCCCTAACTGGTTCTCATTACATTACTGCACAACCTAAATTCCATAGATATACTATATTATATTCCTATATTGTAACTCCTGCACTATTGTATGTCTATGTTTACATCTTTGATTGTCATTTACATTTGTACTTGCGTGATTTACGTTTCATACATATTGTATGAGTATTGCTGGAGGTAGCCTGAGTGCTGAGAATGACTGCTTCATGCTGAAAAATGGCATTATGCAGAAATATTGCCCCTGTACGCTTTTATTATGAAACATTGTATTATTGGATGGTTAAATAAGTACCAGTTTACTATTGTGAAGTGGAGATAATTAAAGCTGCTTTATATGCACCCTTGTACGTCTTCAACAGTGCTTAATATTCTATAAAGGTCATCTCAGATATTGTATGTAAAATATTAATTAGCAACAATCACTCCAGCTGTCAGATCAATATAGTGGAGTAAAAGGTGCAACAAACCTTTAATGCAGTGGAGAACATGTGTAAGGTGGTATTACATGGAAATACTCAAGTACAAGTACCCCAAAATTGTATTTAACCACAGCACTTTTTCATCTCTTTTCCATCACTTATAACAATGCAAATGACCTACCATAATATATGAGTAAGATATTCTCACTGTACTTGAATGCAGCAGCAGACTCAGCCTTGAGACTAGAGGTTGATGAGAAGAAGTAACATGCATCACATAACTGTGGGGAGGCATCATCTTATTTAGCCCTTATGACAGCACATATTTCATCAGCCTGGCAGTGATCCTAAAAAAAACCTTGCAAGGTAACAGGAGCTTTACAGCAGAACAGTACTTAAAACATGGAGTATGTACATCAAAGTACCTGTGTAACAATCAATGGCATTTCAATTTAACCAAATGTTTGAACACCAGAGTGAATGGAAAGTATGACAAGACAAAAGAAAACACCATTCATGAATCTTACAAGACTGACTATGAAAAGGGACAAAACAACCTCAAGAAAACACAAAACGACAACAAAGAGACACAAAACCACCACAAAGAGACATAAGACGACTACAAAAAGGGGCAAAATAACCTCAAGAAAACACAAAACGACCACAAAGAGACTACAAAAAGGGGCAAAACAACCACAGAAAAAAAATAACGACAAAAAAATCTACAAATTGACACATAATAACCACAAAGATACACAAAATGACAAGAGAGACACCAAGCAACTACAAAGAGACACAAAACGACCACAAAAAGAGGCAAAACGGTAATAAAGTGCGTGTGTGTGCATCTTCCTCTTATGTAAGATATGTGGTAAGGTATGTGTGCGCCCAAGGGTCCATTGTCTCATAATCCACCCATGCATGATCTTCTTGCACCAAAACACACCATAGTAGCCCTTAAAAAATAAGTAAATAAATCATTTGCATGAAGTGTGATTCCACAGCAGCCGAGTACTAGCAACAGTACTTTGATGACCAAAAGTACACTCCATTCATAGCAGAAGTTTTCAACCAAAAATGCACAAACAATGTAGCGTGCCCCAGTGTCAGTGGCACATTAAAATAAAAATACAGTGTATCAAGTTTTAGACTAAGAGTCTTCTCACAAAACACACCACAAAGCAGGTTCAAGGCTTCAAATGTAAAGATTTTATTCCTCTGCGTTTATTCTGCAGTAACAGAAACCTTTATTCATTCAGGAATGCGTTATTGCCGATACAAAAAGACAGTAATGACGCACGTGAACACATCATGCATGCAGCCCACAAGTTCACAGAAATGGCTTGAGGTATTGGCCCTGCTCTGATCATAACTTTCTCCACTTGGTAAGTGCTAACTTGTGCTGTAATCTGCATTTACGATCCAGAGCAACACACAGCAGGATAATTAAAAATGACAGTGATGCAAGCAGCTTGTTTCTTCCCAACTCTTGCTTTTTCTCCAATATTTCCATAACTTTTCAGACTTCTACTTAGCCTATATATATCGTTTTGTATTCTGATGATTACATTTTGTATTTAAGGCTATATTCAGCTTCATTCATAATCATTTTAAGATTAAGCTCATTCAGTTTTCATGATTTAAACACATTTTTGATCCACCAGCGCTGTTTAGAGCACAATCTCCCATTGGGTTCAGGAAGAAAAAAAAAAGAGACATAATTCAAGTCAAGCTGAAACAAAACAGCAAACACCTGAGCATAAAATAATGTGCTAGGTTGACACAACAGCAGTGAGTGTGAATTGGTTCTCATAAAACTTGCAGATGAGGCGTTGGTCTCACAGGGCAGAGTTGTTGTGATATGTATGACATGTTACATTCAGGCAAAAATATTTGGAGATTGTTGGTCCTTCAGGTGGTTATCCAAGACGATGGGGCAGAGCCAGGTATGTGATTGGCTGTTCACTCATTCAGACCACAGAAACAGCCAATCACGTAGCTGCATAATCCTCACTGATTAACAGTGGCATGGTGAAATACAAGGGTTACTTGGAAACAATTTAATTTTGAAGTTAAAAAAATATATAAATTACAATTGCCAGAATTTCATTATAACGATCTGAGTTAAAAAAAATATATATCTATTGGATTATTTCACAAATTCATGTTTTATAACATTTGGTCTGTATCTATTCATATGGTATATTTATTTAAATTTGATCACTTTAGGCCTCCATACAAAGCTTGGAAAGCTTGTCGAAACGAAGCAAAGTGATCACGCCTGATCTGCAAGTATCATTTGACCTACAGTACAGAACAGAGAATGGTAAAATTAAATTTAAAAAAAACTAATAAAACTATAAATGCACATCTTGTGTCACAAGTAAGACACCTAATTTCAGCTACAGGACATTTACTAAACATATTTTGGTTCTTTCAATTCAGTCCTGAGAAACATCACAAATGCATCTTTTGCATCCGGCACCAATCACCCTGTAATTATTATACACTAATAAAAATTACACAAGAAATACATTCGCCATTTGCTCATCAACTGTTTCTCACAAAAGGCAAGTTTTAGAGTTTTTTTTAGCAGAGAAAATTCACCTTTGACCACATGTAAAAAGATGGAATAAAAACGACTCTAGTAGATCGCATCGAGTACAAAAAGGTGGAAAAGTTTTCTCTTGAAATGCACTTGTCTTTGTAGCTTCTATGAAGGAATTGTTCGTGTATTTCCAAAAGCACTGGTCTCATAAGGTCTTTTTACAAAGTCCACAAGAGGTAGTAGAGATGGCTCATGTAAACAATAAATGTTTTGGTGACACTGTTGGTGGAAACATACATCTCGTTGTCTTAAAGCTGACAGACATAACACACTGAACTAAATGTGAAAAAACACATTCTATGATTTGCAGGTAATGATGTCTTAACTCCCGTTGCCACTTGAGGCTGTTAATTAAAGGGAACAATTAAAGTGCAGCTTTAAAAAAAAAAAAAAAAAAAAAAAAGTATTTGTACAAACAATATGTGAAGATCAGAGTGCTCTAATTAAAAAAAGTGAAGAAGTCTGTCAAAGTATCTTGCTCTGTGTGTCCTTCACCCTGACACCATCAAGAGAGGCATTTGGTTGTGAAAGCCACCTTAAACTGTAAATTCTCCAAAAAAATTACTAAAATGAATGTGTTACGCGGATTATTACATTCCTGATTTGTGCGTTTATAGTCTTAAAAGTGTACCAAAATCACATGTCAGACCCGTGGTTGATAACAGCAGCGCCTGAGGAGAGAAACGCGTATTTTCCTTGTCATCTGAAACCATGAATGTGGCTGTTTTTCAGTCCCCGAAAACCGAAAATATTCTCAAATTATTTTTTGTGATAGTTTGGCAAAGTAAAATCAAATGCAGACATGCCAGCTGGGTCCGTACCGTTTGATCCAATATGTTTAAATTCAAAATACTGAGCCCTGCACATGAAGCAAGAAAACTGAAAACAGAAGCTCAGTGACAAGCCGAGAGACGGCAGAAGCTCGGCATTTGAGAGGATTCGGTAAGTTGCTAGAAGACCCTCCGATACCAACTTTGGCCTCATTCCTCGAGCAGGACGATATCGACGTTATCATGGACGCCCTGCAGGAGCAACTCGCCCTCGAAACTGACCACCTTTTTCCTCTTGGCTGCCCGCAGGGTGCCCACCAACGCCTCGAAGATGTTGGCACACCGGTCGTCATTGAACAAGACCCCGAACTTCACTCTGGTTTGACCATCAGCATCTGAAATGAGAGACAGACTGATAAAGTTAATTCCAAATGGGACGGATCGTAATCTAAAAGGTAGTAACGACCTGAGCGTTCGTGTATTATTCTAGAATGTTTTCGCAGGTAAGCCGCTCAGTCACACCAGATAAATTGGACTTAAGTCACCCATTTGATTCATTAACAGGTGAAAGCAAATGCATGAAGTGTACGGCTTCTTTTTAAATTGGTTTAAGAGATTGAATAAGTGTTATTCTTGTATCTTATTTTGATTTAACCCCTAGTTTGAGGGCTTTTTCTTATTGATATATAATATGCTGATTATTATATATTAACAAAATGTCACAAACTGCTGAAAAGGCTCATAACAATCTCCAATAGCCCATGAGGATCTCTTCAAATGTATAGTTTTGTATGACCAACTGTCCAGAACCCAAAGATTTAATTTATGATTAAAAAAAAAAAACAGAAAAGCAGCACATCTTGACATTTGAGATGCTGGAACCAGCTGCACGCTTAAATATTTAATCTAAAACTTAAAAAAAAACAGAGAACGCAGCATTAGCACCAAAAGATAGCTCATGAAAACATTATTGAAGAGTTATTTTTAGACTAAATACAACAAGTGAAGACTGAGGGCTGGTGAGCTGGTCCTCCGGTCTGTTTGTGTTTCCAGCATTAGGAGCAGTGAGCTGGAACTACACTGATCAAACATCACATGATTGCATGTTTATGGTTCACTAGAATTCACGGCATGAACCACTTCAAAACTGTTCAGCTATGCCAGAGTCCTTCAAGATGAAACGCAGAATCATAGCACGGACTCACCTTTACTGCCGAGTCGCTGGATCTCCTGCACCAGCAGTTTCACTTCATGAGCGACATCCATTGTTGCTAAAAAGGGAAAACAACATCAAGAGACAAATATATCAACGCAAATAGACTTTTTTTTTGCTTGAAATGAATCTGCTTATTTTTCTTAAAAGCATCAAATACTCTGTGTAGGATGAGAGCAATTAACCTTGATAAAGTGAATGATTTTAAAAATAATTTAATTGAAATTATGTTTTGCTTGGTAAGCAGAGTTTTCAACGAGAAGAAAAAAAAAAAATCTTTGATTTTTATTACCCCCATAGTTATATTTTATTACCCTCAAGGCAATTCCACTTTTGCCAGATTAGTGAAAGGACTTTGGAACTAAACGAATCTTCTTACAGCAAAACGGTTGTTATGACCATTAAAAATCAATGCAAAAGCATTTATATTCATCGAATATACCAAACACACTAGCACGAGCCATCCCTTTAATAAGAGAAGTAACATCAGCATTGAGATCAAACGGAACGAGCCTCAACATGGAACAGGGCGGAAGATCATGAATGCGGAAATGGTTGGATTAGCACTCACAGCTAGCTACCCCGGAGCACGAATCCTCACTGCAATTCATTCATCTGTGGTGATGTGCAGTCACTGTTGCGTGCGGGTTAATGTTCACAATTCAAACATGGCATGCATAACTTCAGGTGCAGTAGAAAGTATTGAAATAAGCAGCAGATACGAGCTCGCCGGTAACGTTAGCTTCTAACAAATGATCTAGTGAGGGAGCACGGAGGAGTTTCAGACAGCTAAACGGATAATACGTGGTGGCAAAACGATGCCATGAAAGTAAACACTGAACCTGTCTAATTGTTGCATTGACATTTATATGTTTACCTTTAAATTCGTCTTGAATCTAATAAGATGACGGACGGCTTTCTGATGAATCTGCTTGCCGGTGGATAATGCTGCTGCGTTCAGTGTCTGCGCGGAAACTTCCACTACACTCACTCACTCTGCACAAAATCCGAGATTTATCCAGCTTCTTCTTCTTTAATTTAATGGCGGACTACAAACCAACCTTTAAGGTGCATGCCGCAACCGACTGTACCGGAGTGTGTAACTCCATGACTTTATGACAGTTTTTTTTTAAAAATAATAGTAAAAACAAAAAAGAATTCTGACTTCATAAAAAAGTTCTACTCTGGATATTAAACTCGCCTAAAGCCATTTTAACCTGAATTTGTTTGTCGCCTATCTCCAACAGTCTTTTGATTCTCCACAATAAGCACATGTTCAACAGTTTCTTTACATTTACATTGAGTTCTGTATGTCTTGACCTTAATCTACAAAAAGTACACATCTTCTTTTCCACATTTACCTCTATCACTTCTCACTCTGACTGACGTCTGAATTCTGTTATAATTTCTGCCCTCAGTGTCATTATTCCAAATTTCCTGCCAAAATGTCATTATTCTGTGCTATATTACTGATTTTGTTTCTGAGCTCCCAAAACAAATTTCTAAAATGTTAATATAATTTTTGTAATATAATAATGCTTCTTTGTCAGCTCTCCATTCAAATCCGACCGCACACCTCATTAAATTTAACACTTTTGTACAGTTGGTCTCAATGATTTTTCCATGTATATTTTTCATCAAACAATAAACCAATATATTTAAATACGCTGACGATATCCATGGGCTTACTGCATTGTGTTATCCCTTGTCCAATACCTATTTTCTTTTTGGTAATCAGCATATAGCGATATTTTTAATCCCCAATCATAAGCCCATCTCTCTACATTGACTATTGCTTTTTGCATAATTTTCATCACATATGCGAAAAGGACGAAGGAGTTTCAGACAGCTAAACTAATATAATAAGTGGTGGGAAAACGATATCAACACATTAAACACAAAAACCAGTTTGAATGTAACATTAACATATGTATTTACCTTTTATTTCGTCTTGATTCTAATAAGATGATGGACGACTGCCACAAGCGAGGGAGTTCAGGATACGTCCAACTGGTAAGAGACCCAAGGTAGACCCAGAACCAAGAGATGATATGTCGTCTGGCCATTCGCCCCCATTAAGGGCTGGAACAAGTTTGCTGGGGAGACTGACATCTGGAATAACTTGCTGACCCTGCTGAGCTTGTTGTCCCTGTGACACGGCCCCCAGATGAGCGAAAGATAATGGATGGATGGAAAAATGTTGCCTGGTCTGTTTAGTCTCGATTTCAGGGTCAGAATCCTTCTGACAAATTCTGACCCTACCATCGTAATGTCACAAAAATCACAGAAATCGAGACTCATTAGACCAGGCAACATTTTTCCAAACTTCTATTGTCCAATATTGGAGATCTTGTGCTAATTGAAGCCTTGGTTTTCTGTTGTTGGCCTACAGGAGACTGGAGAAAAGGATGTTTGTCTCCTCATACCTTTAATAGGTGACTGCAGTGATAGCCCCTCTATGAGATGCCCTGGCAGCTTCATTAAAAATGAAGACAATTTAGGATAGCATCAAAAACATTTGCAAACGTGCTTATTCTTAGACGTTAAGGAACATTTTAGACATTGGCAAGCTTGAAGAACTAGTAATGTCTTGTTGTGTGGTGCAATTGTGTAGTCATACCTTTCCATGTCTGGCTGGGGATGGTCTTCCAGCTTTATCAGTGAACAAATCATCATGGACCTGATATGAGGGAGAAACAATTATGTGTTTTAGTGGCAACCGGAAGGAATAGGATGTACCAATACTCGGACCTTATCTAAATGGCACAATCTGAAATCGGCTGCTGTCACCCCTCTATTCAAGGGGCGGATGATATATTAGACCTAAACTGTTACAGACCTATTTCCATCTTGTCTTGCCTGTCCAAAGTTTTTAAGAAACTGGTCAACAAACAGCTCACCGACCACCTGGAGTCCCACAGTATTCTCACCTCCATGCAGTCTGGCTTTAGATCCGGCCATGGGTGTATCTCTGCCACACTTAAAGTATTAAATTACATCATATGTGCCATTGACAGGAAAGAACAATGTGTGGCCGTGATTGTTCTATATACATGCAGATTAATCCACTTTTTAACAGTTTATCTATAAAACTGTCATTGGTACCTCCACATATCTCTGCTCTCTACTCATCATCTTCAACAGTAACCTCAATTTGCGCTGTAGCGACTTCATCAACATAGTCATTCCATGAGTATGCATGCACCGCCTTTGGCCATTTCTCATTCCAGTTTGCTGCTCCAAGCGACTGGAACGAATTGCAAAAGAAGCTAAAACTCCACACCCTCATTCCGTTACCCTCCTTCAATAACTCATTAAAAACAATAGTCTGTGATCACTGCAACTGTTTCTGAGTTTGCTTCTCCAGGAACACTGTTTGTTTTTTATATATTGTACATATTATGATGTTGTCATTTTTGTATGAGATTGATTGAGATGTTTCTACGTTTTATTTGTTTGTAACGACTTGCCTCCTGTTGCTGCCTTTTTGGCCAAGTCGTCATTTAAAATGAGAACTGGTTCTCAATTGACTTGTCTGGTTATATAAAGGTAAAATAAATAAATAAATCTAGATTGCATTTGTGCCTGTAGTATTTCGGGAATGGTTTGAGCTCACCTATTTGGCTCTGTGTTGGTGTTTGTTGACAGTGGTGGAAGAGAATGTCAATGAAGAATGACAAGGGATGAGTAAAAACCTATACTCATATCAATGTAACTAGATCATAAGACCCAGAACACGAGAGATTATACATCTCAACTGGCCCCTCGCTGGGCCCCCATCAAGGGCTGTAAAACGTTGCTGAGGGGACATCAGGAATACCCTGCTGAGACTGTTGCCCCTGCGAGCCGGCCCCACGCCATGTCACAACGCTCAAATCATCTCAAACTGTTTTCCTGAAACATGACAATGACTTCACTGTTCTCAAATGGCCTCCACAGTCACCAGAGCTCAATCCAATAGCACACCTTTGGGATGTAGTGCGTATACCTTTGCTCCGCATCCCAAAGGTTGCTGGCAGGGGTTTATAAGAATGTTGATACAAGGAGAAATATGTTAATTAATTCAGTCAATAAATGCCTATATCCCACCAACACTCTTTTTCACCTAGTTTTCCGTGGAAATTAAAAAAAAATAATGATTGTTTATTTCAAAGAGTTACTAATGACACATGATTTTGATATTTTCATGTCTGGGAAATTCGGGATTAAATGAGTTAAATAAGAGCCCTTTAAAGGGCTCTGGGTTAAATGCGCGTCAACCAGTGTTTTATTTTGAAAAATCCTACCGGAAGTGTTACTTTACCAGGCTTGACACTGGTGGTAGGAATGGCGGCTAAGATTACTACAGGAAGGAACCCAAAGACCATGAAACTTTACTTCTAACGGCCCCGCTGAGGAATTTGTTTCCAGCGAAACGCAGTAAAGCCGGCCCACAACGGATCAGGGGGAGAAGAAGTGCCATAACGTGAGATTAACGCAGTAGACGTCCAGGCTGAGGAAGTGGACGCACTTTGCGACTTGCTAGTTAGCTTAACGTTAGTGCCACTGATTTTGATTCAAGGTAGCCGTTAGTTCGCTGTACTGCTAGCCAGCTGTTGGCTACTTGGCTTGGCTGAGCCCAACAAGTTAACTAAGTAATTAACTGTATGAAAACATTCCTTGTTTGAATACTTGAGTGTTTATTCGCTGCCTTTATCAACAGATAGTATTGGCGTTTTTTTGTTTTTTTTTACAGAGAGTAGGACCAGGCGACAACAAGTCGACACAGCGCGCTGAGAACATTATTACTGCTAACCTAGCTAGTGCAGCAACGCTAGCTAAGTTGGGATCCTGAAGTCTCGCCCATTTTTTGGATCCTGCCCTAGCCATTGGCTAAGGGTTAATCAACGGCCAAGTAGTCTGGTTTTTCAGGGTCAGTTGGTACTACAATGGAAAGTCTAACGCTTACTGATGTCGAGCAGAAATATTACTCGGATTTGTTCGCGTACTGCGACACGGACAACACCAAAAAAGTGGCTTCCAATGGGAGAGTTCTTGACCTTTTCCGGGCGGCCCAGCTACCCAGCGAAGTTGTCCTGCAGGTAAGCTAGCGTTAGCCAGTGTCAGTTTTGAAAGTGTTATCCTCAAGCCTGTGAGGCTGTTAATGGATATTTTTACAAACTTGTCTGGCTGTCAGAGCTGACCTGTCCTCCAGGTTAAGCTATGGCTGTGCCATGGTGGTTAGCAATGCTGCGCAGCAGAAGAGACACACCTTCTTCTTCTGGCTAATGTTAGCCTTAGCCAAAGAGAGTGGGGCAGCCAAGTCACATCATTTACTTTAGCTGAACATTTTAGTCTCAAATTGACATCTTATTCATATACCAGACGCTCGTATGTCTGCTCTCCATGCATCTCTTTATGGGCATGTGTTGAACAGCGTCCAATGTACATAACGTTGTAGTAAATTATCTCCTCATCAGCCCTTTGCTTCAGATTACTGCCCACTCTTTCCTGTCTTCTCACTCCATTACAATCTGTTATTGTTGCTGGCCACTGGCTTGAGCTGACCTGATGGAAAAGCAGACCCAACGTCAGTGTCTACATGTCTATGTGATTTATAATAGCTGTTGCCTAACATACCACCAGCTGATCAAAAATACCTGATTTAGGAATGGTGTTTTCATTCAACCTGCCTATACACGGATCTTAACCCACTGATACTCGTATTAAATTCATGTTACGTTCACATCAACCTTGATGCCATCCACACGGCCACTGCTCTGTCTGTTAACTAAGAGTTATGAGCAGCCATCTCAAATGCAGCAGCTCCATTTTTTTCTTCTTCTTGTGTGTGTTGTGACTCCAGGTTTTCGCAGCAGGCCGGTATTTGCAGTTTGTGAGTCAGAACCCTGTTTCAAGGTCAACAAGGGGGAGCTGTGTGGTGGAAGAATCGGGCAGTGTTGTAATCATCTACTTTCAAAATGTACACTGTGGTGGCCAATCGGACACGTACAGCTACAGTGTCGCGTTGTAACAGGCGGAGAAAAGTGACTGGTGCTTTGTATCCGGACGTACTCCAGAATAAATCCTTTGTCAGCAAGAACGGGATCAGTCAGCTGTGCCGTAGTCGATGTTGTGCCTCTCAGCACTGAATTACTCATCTTAATGTGATGAGTTTTTGACTCCCTGGTAGTCAATCGTCCACAGGTTCCTGGTGCCCACGTATTTATCGTGTGACCCCCCCCACCCCACCCAAATTACATTATCTCCTATGTGTTTCTTTCTGTGCACATTTTACACACTTTGTAGTGTCAGTCTACCATTCTGGATTAAAAAAAAGCCTGCTCAGCATAACGTCAAGTACAGCCAAATATGTGATAATAAGGCTTATTATCCCGCTGATCAGCTGCCAATAAGCTGAGTAAATGAGCCTGTTGCTTGTCGTTTCTTTGTGACTTGAAGCAGGTAAACTACATCACATTAACTCAGTAAGTCTTGCAAAAAAAATCAGCATTTTGTTAAAGCAAACTCTGAATGATGGTTATATATTGTTTATTTTCTCGTTTAACTCTTCCATGTAAAATTCTGTAGGTTATGAATAGTCTGTGTCTGCTCTTCTCTCAGTAATGGTTAATATCAGAGTTTCAGATGAATACAGTGTTGTTAACTGTTCCTCGTTGTTCCTTTGCGTGTGTGTGTGGGTTTAGATCACAGAGCTCTGTGGAGCCACTCGGCTGGGTCATTTCGGGCGGAGCCAGTTCTACATCGCTCTGAAGCTTATTGCCATCGCCCAGTCCGGTCTGCCCCTGAGGGTGGAAAGCCTCAACTCGGGTGAGTCCAGCGATGAATTGAACCATTTATCTTTACTTCAGAACCTGCTCGCACAAGCCGGGGAAGATTCCCACTAAAAGTACCATCATATAAAACATACCAGTGACTCTGGACTCAAAAGGGTTTTGTGTGTCTACTCTAGGGCAGTCAAAATCCTGTTTCAGAAATGCTAGCTTAATGAATTTGAGGAGGTCATGGGACAGGGAGCAAGGGGCAGGATAGAAATCTTCAAATTAAAAGTCTTAACGAATGCAGTCTGTGTTAACTAACTGTAAATGATATGCTTAACAATAACATGTAAAAAAAACAATTACACAAAAGCTCGTGTGTGTGTGTATATGGGGAAAAATATTGTTTACTTAGACAAAAATGTAATCAGAAATGATTTGAGCCATTTAGCCAGTCTGCACATAAGTTGGTAGTAGCCCAATATTTGTGTTATCAGCTGCTTGATAATAAGAGCTTTCTATTTATCTTTGTACTAAACAGTCTGTAGTCAAAGCCCTCGAGGGTCTAACTGCAAAATTGCATTTTTCTGTTTGTCTTTGGCGTGACAGCTCTCAAAAACTACACAAGGGAAGATGTCGCAGTCGCCCTCTGAGTTACTCGTTTTAACCTGAAATATTGCAACATGGAGTTGCTGAAATGATTTCATAATTTGAATAAATATAAGGAAACACAGGGGGTGGCCACTTCCTCAAAGCAAAAATGGTCGTGATGTACAATGTGATGCGTATTGGGTTTGGGGATGTTTTTTGGACTTAAGAAACCGTTTGCTCTTAAAGATGGGGCTGTCTCAGAAGTAGTTACAGGGAATTCAATGGTTTAAAATGTTCACTTGCTTTGTGCTAAAAAAGAAAGCCTAAAGTCACCCTGGTCATACTGACATATTGAATAGAAAGTTATTCTATATCATCAGTATATAGTTGTTTATCAAGTTATTTTTCAATGGTTGCAAATATCAAGTTTTGTCATCATTCGTGTGGCGAACCAATAGCGAGGACTTTTTTCCCCCCACAATGTCACGCAAATCCACTGAAGTGGAGACAAACACACCATTTACTGCAGCGACAGTAGCATCAATAGACCAGCACTCAGTCCATGCTTTATTATGAGGAAGCAGTCGGACCTGTTTACTTCTGTTTTCACGCTGTCGTTTTCATTACTATACTGTTGTACCCTTCAAAAACACATATAAACCACAGCCGATTGGAAAAAGGTCATGCTCCTTCTCTAGGCATTCTGGGTAATCTCTGGAGTCAATAACTGAAGTAGAAGCACACGAGGCAGGATGAAGGAAAGTGGCTTCACCAGAAAAAGAAAAGTCATCAGCGAGGAGTAACAGGCTGATGACACCTGACAAATTTAGTCCCGTGCAGAGAGATTTCAGTCCTCCTGTTTAGTGCATCAAAGCACCAAAAAAACAAACAAACAAACCAATCAATCTGAATGTTTCCTCTAATCCTGTGCATGGATTCCTGTCCCACCAGTCAAAGACCTGCCGCTGCCCCGGTTCGTGGTGGGGAAGAATGAGGCGGAGGCGAGGCACGCGGCTCTGTACCAGGACTCCGACAGTCAGGGGTTATACCCGGCCTCCGCCGCTGCAGTGATGCCCAGACCGCCAGGCAGGGGGTTCCAGAGCAAGAAAGGACCCCCGTCGTCCACTTCACTTCCTGTCCACGAGGTCATCCAGCCCCTGGCACCCAGCATAGAACCACAGGTTAGTCATTGTACTCCTATCGTGTACATGGAGCACTTAAATACTGTAATTTTGTACTTTTTAATGTTTTAGATCACCATGTGCATTCGCCCTTTTCCTTATAATTACCTATGGTTTTCTTATAGAAATACACTCTTGTGCACACACAACAAATGAAGGTATTGGGTCACGCTAAGAGACATGCATACTTTGTTTCCCTACAAGTAGTCCTGCAATAGCTGCATTAGAAAATGGACTTTTACTTTTATCTATATTTGGGGGAACACATTTTCTTTCCTCCTACGGATGAACCCAGCAGTTACTACAGATACGCCACTATCTATACTGGAATACTGTTTCCTGTGCATGTTTTAAGTATTTCTAGTTCAAATTACACTCAGAAGTTTTTTCCGCTGCTGACATTTTCTTTGCTGAAACCCACAGTGTGTTGCTTGTCGGTTACACAGACATCATATCGATATGCATCTGTTTCGCTCGCTGGCTGCTTGAACATCCATATCTGTGATGAGCAGAGAGAAAGCCTTGAAGCAGCATTTGTTAGTGCGAATGTCGCATGTTCCGGATGGAAATCTTGTATTATAATGAGATAGGATCTGAAAGTTAATACTCATAACACGTGCAACCACGATAAGACAGTTGTGGCTGCACTTCTGCACGCTGACCTTCTAATTAAGATTTTAAGAAGATTACATGTTGAGAGATGTTTATTCTCATTTAATCTGCAGTTGTTCAGGTGTTTACTGAATACCGTCTTCATCTGTTTACATATTTCACAAGATTGATTGTATTTTTACGTGCGTTACCAGCCCGAACCGACGTCCCCCGTGGTCTCCCCTCACCAGTCTCCCCCCACCTCCCCTCACTCGTGGAGGAAACACAAGCGGCAGCCCAGCGGAGGAAACGCAGACAGACAGACGGCGGTGGCTCCAGCTGGAGCTGTGTGGACGCATTTCAGAGAACCGCAAGCAGGTAACATCCACCGACCCACTGCTGCTCAAGAGAAGATGGTGATGAAGAATTAGAAAGTGAATTGATAAAGAAATACCTCGAGTGTTTCCTGCTTTTCTCCGATATTCGTTTCTGTCATGTTGAACTAAATATCTTTGGGTTTTCTCTATTTAACAGTTTAACTAATACTGAAAATAATGGTTTGTTGCAGCACTAAATTACAGTCAATCGGAAGACACCACAAGGTGAATGCTAATATATAAATATATATAAATATATCTATCTATCTATCTATCTTTTGGAGAGTAGTGTGTTTTCTGAAGTGTCGATAACTATGAAAGTACCACAGATTTGGCAGAAAAGGCGATACCAGCTGTGGCACAGAGCACATACAGGTTGTGTTTGTGTTACTTCCTGGTGTTTGCTGAGAGTGGCAGTTAGTCATTAGAGGAACAAAGGAGACATCACATGACCCGTGCCATGCTTTCATCAGCACAAAGTGTGATTGAGATATTACAAAGAACATGAAAATAATCCTCTCAGGAGCTGAAGAGTCGATAGTTGCAGCCCTTCTCTTTTCCTAATGACTCTTGCAGTGTATTTATTTGAGTATCGTGGGATGTAAATGTGTGCTTTCCTCTCTTCCCCTCCAGGTCCAGTGCCCGTTGATGGAATGTGGCCGTCCCACTCGCCCCCGCCTCCAGGTCAGGAAAGTTGGGTCAGTTTCACAGCAGACACCCCGCCATCCATCCCAGGAATGCATCCCTCGTCAGCCCAGGTAGGGCAGTGTCACGTGTCTGTCCCTCAGTACTAGCGCTGGTCAGACATACTTGTTGCTGAAGCAATTCAGTTTTAAATTCTTCAGCTGACAAGCAAACCCCTACTCTTTCATTCTGGCCCTGATGCTAAAAAAACAGTTTGGGAATAACTTGAACTACAGACTGCTGGTCATGCAACACCATCAGCTAATCCCACAGTGGAAATGGGGTTTGTGGTGACAAAATAGAACCATAAAAATAAGCGTACATATAGTCAAGGCAGAGGGTAATACAATAAGTCATCAGTATATATTATGAGTGACTTCATCAGGAGGGCAAACACCATCAACCTCTTTCATCAGATGGAAAATGTCCGTCAGACATTGCAAACATAGAACGTAATCTCACTAACCACAGTTGGCAACATGAGCCAACATTTTAATATCAGTGCCTTATCTGCTGAGCTAGTCGCCTAAAACTCAGCAAGCAACTTGTGTGACATTGCTCAGGCAAAGTGAAAAGCTGTAGACGCCTCTCTGCTCAGTGCCTGACTTTAGACGGGCGACATGCTGATTTTTAGCGTCTTAGATGATGGAATTAAATTTGTCAAATTGTCATTGATGTGATCTGATATTTGGCCTCTTGTCTGTCCACATTCCTTTTGCTGTGCCACATTCAGACTACATTTATTAGACTTTTCAACAGTTTGTACAGTCAAAAGCTGGTCAGAGGGTCGACTACAGTACATGCAGCCACTGAAGAAACTGCAGTTGAATACATAACACGCGTTACTTAATTATGTGCTTATTCGCAATCTAAATTAGACAAATGTTTATTGCCAGTGAGGTTTTCACTTCACTACAGTAAACAAACGCAGAAAGAAAAAAACATTTTACGTTATTACGATTATACATTCCTTTAAACCAGTGTTACTCTCTTAAATGTTTGTGGAAATCTCCCATGTGCTTCGTGCAGGACAGCACAACAATACGAACGGTGGCCTCGGCAGCAACGACCAATGAGATCCAACGACAGTCCAGCGGCTACGACGACCCCTGGAAGATCACAGACGAGCAAAGACAGTATTATATCAACCAGTTCAAAACCATTCAGCCAGACCTCACCGGCTTCATACCTGGTAGGAGAATGCAGGAACACACACACACACACACACACACACACACCAAGAGGATTGTTTTAATCATCTGTTTTCCGGTGTGTTTCAGGTTCAGCCGCAAAAGAATTCTTCACCAAATCAAAACTACCGATTTTAGAGTTGTCGCATATTTGGTGAGTCTTCGCTCTTCCGCAAATCGCCATCTCTGCTGTGTTTGTCTGTCCTGAAGATGTTTAGTGTGCCGTGTAGATGTCTCCAGGGCAGCTAATACTGGCAGGATGACGGTAAAAAAAAATGCTGGCAGACTCACTAATGTCTAACGTGTGTTTTGAAGGGAGCTGTCAGACTTTGATAAAGACGGAGCTCTGACACTGGACGAGTTCTGCGCTGCCTTCCACCTGGTTGTGGCCAGAAAGAATGGCTACGACCTCCCCGAGAAGCTGCCTGAGAGCCTGATGCCAAAGCTGATTGACCTGGATGACTCAGCAGGTACACCGTGTATCTCTCTCTCTCTCTCTCTGTGTCTCTCTCACTCTCTCTCTCTCTCTCTCTGGCTCTTTCTCTGTTTTGCTGCCTCCCCTAATTTCCCAAGCTCAGGCCTCATAAAACCTGAGAGGTGACAGCACTGCAGTGTGCTCCACCTGAATTGCGGTATCTCATCTATAGATTAACTTTCTATGATGGAGCTACTGTACGTTTCTGCTGCCCTCTTAACGTCACGTCCTCTCATTAGCTTGCCAGAACAATTTACCTTGCAAAGAAAAACTGACACTTTTTTTGCAATGGAGATCATTGTTTTCTGTATTTTAAGCAACACATTAGACGGTTATGTATCTCTTTTGGGTGTCAAGTTCCATGTAAATCTTTTTAGCCATGGATTGGGAGTAAATTTAGTTGAACAAGGGTGTGTTTTTATTTATTATTGATTCAGATTTTTAAAAGGGGAAAACTGTGTTGTGTCGTTGGTTGTGTGGTGGGAACCCTGGCTTAACCTGTGTGTGGTTTTGGGGGATTCAGAGGGCTCGGAGCAGACTGCTGACGTCGGATACTCGGGCTCCCCTGGCTCCCCGGTGGAAGTCACCCCCAGCAAGTCCCCCTCCATGCCTTCACTCAACCAGGCCTGGCCAGAGATGAACCAGAGCAACGAGGTTCACAACACGCACACAGCACACATACGATTACTTATTGTATCTTCACACATACTGTGAGCTCCATGTTTGTTTGCTTTTGCTGTGTTTGCATTTGATTCATCATAATTAATTGCGCAGGGTTAAATTAGGTGCTTTTTCTTTTATCCATCGATCATGATTTGACTGCCTCTTCATCCTCTTCATCATCAAACATAATTACTGATAATCCAGCACCTCTTCTCTCACCTCCTGGACTGAGGCGTTCAGCCTGCTGTTCTGTATGAAAGTCTGTTTCTTTTCCACGCCCACCGACGATGTCTCATCGCCACGTCGTCCGGGCGGCGGCCGATGATGTCACATGACGGTAGCGGCGCCGGCTGATGATGTAAATGTGTGATGTCACTGCACTGGCTGACTGACGTGTTTTTTCTCACTGTCTGTCTGTCTCCTGCAGCAGTGGGAGACGTTTAGCGAGCGCTCCTCCAGCTCACAAACTCTGACCCAATTTGACTCTAACATTGCACCAGCTGACCCTGTAAGTCAATCACTTAGTATGCATGGTTTCACCATTAATGCACAGACATTAACCCTCTCTGGATCTCCCTGAGCTCTCTCTCTGTCTCTCTCTCTGTCTGTCTCTCTCTCTCTCTCTCTCTGTCTCTCGCTCTCTGTGCATGATGTTCTTTCAAAGTGCAGTCTGCAGCCAGTATGTGTTGTGATTTGGCTGGCTTAGCCTCTACTGGACATCACCTTTTTTTTCCTACAGTGACATCCACCAATCACTTGTGCATTTGCTGATTGTGACAGATACACTTTCCATTTATTGTCAAATGTTGTAAGTACTTAAAATGTTGCGGTGCTTTGTCTTTTACCTTTGCAGTGTCCAAGTCCCTTTTTTTTTTTTTTTGGGCTCCTGAGGTGGAATTTATTTTTCTTACAGCATTAATATGCCCACGAATAGCTCTGCACTATAAATCTGGTGGAAAGTGCAGTATTGACGACAACAATTTGCCTTATTGCAAGAGAGTACATCTTTCTTTAAATTGTTTTTTGGGTAAAATCACTGAGCAGAACCCCCCCACAAGAATTGTACTCCAGTACAGTACTTGTACAGAGTAAAGCTACTTAGTTAGGGTCTTTACTCTGTCATTTGATAGGTCGTTGTGTATCAAACCAAGTGGATTGATAGATGGAGGCAAAGCCTGACAAAGTAAACGGATAATACAGTGATGTGGACTACAAACGTATCTCCAGTGACACGTCATAAATCTGTCTTTCTCACCTCTTGTCCCGACATATCCGTCCCTCAGGACACGGCCATCGTCCACCCAGTCCCCATCCGGATGACCCCCAGTAAGATCCACATGCAGGAGATGGAGCTGAAGAGGACCGGCAGTGGTGAGACAACATCTGGCCTCAAGGCTGACTCTCCACAGCAGAGATTACAACTTCATAAATCAGTGTTGTATACTAACGTCATTAAACATCTGTTTTAGTTTACTTTCTAAAGCTGCTACTGACTGTGACTGTGTGATCTGTTTGAAGTTATTCTCTTAACAGTTGACTGAACACTTGTGGCCTCCCTGTTATTGCTCAATCCTTTAGACCACAACCACCCGACCAGTCCGCTGCTCACTAAACCTCCGGAACTGTCCGAAGAAGCCAATTTACCTGCCTCCATGTTCGTAGCTGCCAACACTGTAGGTGAGTAAAGGATGGGCTGCCGTGCCAGAGAAACGGAACTCCACCAAACGCACTGACAGACTCACTGTTGTGAATTTTAAGAATGGAAAAAAAAAAGGATCAAAATGGATTCAGAAGAGATTTAATCCACACATTCTTCCTCCCTGTCCAAACCTGGCGCTCACTGTGAGGTTGGAACTAACCGTGGCATAAAATCTCTTTTGTATCTCTTGTAAACACATGATAATCAGTCGGTTGATCAGATGTTTATGGGATGTTTTTTTTGTGTGCGTCTGCGCTGAAGGTGATGGTTACAGCAGTTCAGACTCCTTCACCTCAGACCAGGAGCCAACCACAAGACAAAGGTCAGTGGCTATCACGTGATTTGAGTTTGCTTATGTTCTTTATTGTTGAGGTTTATGTTTTCTTACTTTTGTTGGACAATCACTGTGTTCATGTCTTTGAGTTTTGTATCTGTTTATCTGGTTTTTTGACCATCTTTCCACCGCATTGGAAATAGATAAAGTAAAAATGTATATCCTCTCCATAACTCCAGTGTTGGGGGGGAAAATCTAAATGACTAATTATGAATTTACTAATTAGTGGATGTTATACATTTAGCATAAGCTCATGTCCTCCGTTAGTGTTTAAAGCTGTGTCCTCAAATGGTTTTGTGTGAACTTTCACCGACACTAAGCGTCACAGCTGTTTAGTCTATTAGGAAGCGGTTTACTGCCGAAAGAACGCTTCAGCTGTTTGTCCTAAATAAGAATGATAATAAACTTGTAGAAGACGTCAATACTTACGCAGGGCTGATTTGCAACCATGACTTCCTGATTACGATAAAGTGACCTTTGTACTCGAAAGAATTGTTAAAATGATGTTCCAGATACTCTACGCAGACGCCCGTGTGAAACGCGATTCATGTGTTATCCTTTGTGACGTAAATGACCCTGTGCCAGCCCACTGCGTGTTGTTTACTCAGTATAAATATCAGAGAGTCGGAGACAGATCTCCGAGCAGCCTTGATGTACTGTCGAGTGAATTTTTCTAACCTCCAGAAACATAACTGTTTGTCTTCAGGTCTCAGTCGGGAGCGTCTCCAGAGGCTCTGAAGGTGGTAGCCCCGCCTCCACCTCCACCCCGCCCCCACCCGTCTCACTCCCGTTCCTCGTCTCTCGACATGAACCGCACCTTCGCTGCCGCGGTTGTTGCAGGACAACCGCAATCCTCCACGATAGCTTACCCGCCCGCTGTTCCTCCTCGACCGCTACCCACACAGGTAAGACGGGCATCTCCTCGCCTTAAATACTGCATCAAGGGTTATCTCGACAATATGAAGGCCTTCACCCTACTCTCTCTCTCTCTCTCTCTCTCTCTCTCTCTCTCTCTCTCTCTCTC